GGCCTCTGGGCTCCGCTCTGCGCCCCGCGGCCGCCGGGGGTGGGTCTCCTCTCGGTGCGGGTCGCCTGCCTGCGCTCGGGGGCTGTGGACCTGGAGCGGCTGCCACGCGCAGGCCGGCCGCGGCGACCCGTGCAGACCCGTCGCTATCGTCGCCCGGAAGCCGACCTTGGAGACACACAGTGTTGTGATGTTTTGAACCTAGGCATGGTAGGAATGAAAGGATTTTTAAATCTTTCTTAATCTAAACCAGATTACCAAAAAACCAGCCCCCTATTTTACAGCGTACTCAGTGATAGCATAATTGCAAAAAATCTTTTCTTACCTATATTAAAACATTTTTAGGGGAAATATATTTGTGCCCAGAATGAACAGAGTTACCCTTTTGGCACAATTCCCTACAGCTTTTGATAACCTCCCCCGGTTATGAGGATACCGTAACTGAGCTAGGGAGCATTGCAAGGGCGGATTTGGAATGTTCATTCATTCATTACATGTCAGCTGAGTCGCTGTTGGGCACTAGCATTAAGACATAGCAAGTGGGGAGACAGTGGGACTCGTAAAGTCTATGGGGGAAGAGAGAGAAGTAAGACCATCACGGGTAAGTATGGTAGAGGAGGTAAGCACCAGATGCTGGGGAAGACAGGGTGGAGTGACGTGATCCAGATGCTTGGCTGCCCAGGAGGGCTACCTGTGGGAATTGCCCCAATGAGCCCGGGACCCCCGCGGCATGGGCATTAGCTAAGCCAAGAGCTGTGGAAACTAGGACATATGCTGACCGAGAAAGAGCTAGAGGCAAAGGAGCCTTGAAGAGAAGAGAAATAATCAAAATCACATCATGAGTTTTGGCAAACTAAACAGGAAACTCTAGGCATTGGTTTTTGTTGTTGTTGATCCTCACCTGAGGATATTTTTTCCATTGCTTTTCAGAGAGAGAGAAACATCGATGTAAGGGAGACACATTGACTGGTTGCCTCCTGAATGCTCCCCTATGGGGGGTGGGAGTGAACTCTAAGCCCAGGCATGTGCCCTTGATTGAACCCTCAACCCTTCAGTGTGAAAGCCGACGCTCTAACCACCAAGCACACTGGCCACGGCTAGGCATTGAATTTTAAAAATTGCAGAGCAGGGCCCTGGCCAGGTTGCCCAGTTGGTTGGAGCATTGTCTGACACATCAAAAGGTTGAGGGTTCGATCCCCGGTGGTTGGGGTGCCTAGGGGAGGCAACCAGTTGATGTTTCTCTCCCTCCCTTTCTCTAAAATCAGTGGGAACATAACCTTGGGTGAGGATTTTAAAAAATGATTTAAAAAATTGTAGAGCAGCACTGAATGTCTGAGATTGGAAATCAAGGAGCCCACCCCAGATCTGGTTCATTCCCCAGATTACTGAATTATCTATATAATCCTAGTGCCCAACACACCACCCTCTACCCCTTCCAAAGTAGAATGCTCTTCTCTGGCTCCTAATCCTATTCTCAGGCTTCCCTTTTACAATTAAGGCGTCATTTCCCTCTCTAGTACCCCTAGTTAACCTAAATTTGTTGCATTGTCTATGCTATTCATTTGCTAATTTATTACTTCCCTATAGTATTGCTTGCACTATATTCTATTGTATGTTTAGTCCTGCATGCCTTTATTCCTAACTTCCCCAATCTCCTTTTGGACTGTGTCTTGTGCTCTTTTGTCTTGTGGAAAGTGCCTAATGTATAACAGTTTTCCCTAAGAATCTGAGATAGATTGTTGTATGCACCAGAGACCGACAAGTACTGTTCCTGTCAAGACAATACCATTAAACATGACTAACTAGATTTTTAAATTTAGGCTGAACTTTTTCCGAACTACTTCAGTGACATTGCAAGTAATTGTTTTCATTGAGAATCTCACATCTACAAACTAAAGTCTCCTCGAAGGTCTATCAGGGTGATCTGTTTCAATTAGTACTCTAAAATATTTCTATCATAACTGAAAGTTTGTTTTAAGATCTCTTAATAAAGCCTCCCACCAACTTTCCAAAATTTTATGGAACACAGAGACATAGTTGAAGAATTGCAACATAAGTAATTATTTCGTCAATAATATCAATAATGTTAAAAAGTCAATATCTAAGTTTTGAGGGCTTGAAGAAAATTATTTGCTTTAATCTTATTATGTATTACCTGGTTTGAAGATAAATGAATTAAGATATCTCTGCCTATTTTACTAATTATTGTTTTTACCAGTTTGCATACAGAAGTTATCTACAGGTTTATGGTATATTTTCAACATTGGTAGGGAGTATGTTTTTTTGCCTCTAACTTGTGTAATGCTTTTCAGAGCTTTTTAGTTTAGTAAATTTGTCTTGGAAACATAATCCAGAAAGTGATAATTACAGCTTTGCTTCCTTTTTTCCTGCTCCCCAGGGTTCTTTGGATCCATCCCAAAGTATTGAAGATGACCCCCTGCTGGACACCGAGCACCTTTCGCATTACTCATTACACGCTCATTTTAGACCCAGGTTCCACCCTCTTCCTACGGTCCTCATAGCAAATCTCCTCCTGTTGGTACATGTAAGTTGACTGGGAGAAAGTGACCCATCTAGAGGCGACACTCTTAAAAAATATGTAAGCTCTTTGGAGGGCAATTTGGTTATATTTATCAACATTTACAATGTACATACTTTTTCATTCATATCTCTACTTCAAAGAACTTATTGTAGTATTGTCTATATTTGCAGTATTATCCGATTTCTTTCCAAAAAATAGATAATACTGTAGTTACTACTCTACAGCAGTGTTTTTCAAACTTCAGCGTGGATCAGATGTCCTGGCAGGCTTGTTGAACTACACATTGCCCCGCCCCCCACATTGTGTTTCAGCCGCTAAGGGGTGGGGCCCGAGAATTTGCATTTCTAGCAGGGCCTCTGGTGATACTGATGATGCTGGTCTGGAAATCACTTTTGAACCACTACTCTAATTTATTTCTTTTAATCTTAACATATCATAAACATCCATCTAAACTAACACACAGAGATTTAGTTAATTCTTTTATGGCTGAATAATATTCTATTATGTGAGTGGATGTACCTTCATTTACTCAAACATTCTGCTGTGGATAGACACATATATGTGGGCAATTTTCAAGTTTTGCAAATATGGAGAATACTGCAGTAAATACTTGTATCCATGATGTATACTAGGTACTGGTGCTTTTCCTCCTGAGTGATAGAGTCCTTAAGATAGGATTTCTGGGTCAAGATATTTCCAAATTATTTTTCACAGTAATTGTCAGACCAGTCAGCAATATATGAGAATGTTAGCCTGTATTTTGGCACCAATCTTTTAAATTTTTGTCAATCCAATTTGGATAGTTTTTATTGCTCTCTGAAGACAAACTAGAAATAAACTCCCCCCCCGCCCCAAAATCCATGGAACTTGTGACCTTACACGTTACCTTACATGGCATAAGGGATTCTGTAAGCATGCTTAAGTTAAGGATTTTTGAGATGGGGAGATTATTCTGGATTATACAGGTAGGCCCAATGTAATCATGAGTCCTTATGAGAAGGAGACAGGAGGATCAAAGTCAGAAAAAGAGAAGTGACACCCTAGCTGGTTTGGCTCAGTGGTTAGAGCGTTGGCCCATGGACTGAAGGGTCTCAGGTTTGATTCCAGCCAAGGGCACATACCTTGGTTGTAGACTCAATCCCCACCCCAGTCTAGGGTGCGTATGGAAGGCAACCAATGTGTCTTTCTCACATTGATGTTTCTCCCTCTCTCCCTTCCACTGTCTCTGAAAAGCAATGGAAAAAATATCCTCAGGTGAGGATTAAAAAAAGAAAGAAAAGAGAAGTAACAATGGAAGTAGAGGTCAGAAAGAGAGAGATTTGCAGATGTGACACTGCTAGTTCTAAAGATAGAGGAAGAAGGCATGAGTCAAAGAATGCAGGTGGCCTCTAGAAGCTGAGAAAGGAATGGAAACATTCTCACCTAGAGTCTCCAGAAGGAGCACAGACTTATGACACCTGGATTTTAGGCAAATAAGACCCATAGAAATAAACTTTTTAGACCATGATTTTTATTAGCTGCCTTTAAGGCACTTAATTAACTTTTTACTCTTTAGTAAAAGAGAAGTGGGCAGGAAACTGTTTAACGTTAAGTACCCATTTTTTTAAGATCAGATTTAGAATGATTTTTTCCCCCTTGTGATTTTATTTGTTTTACAAGTTATCTGCAAATTTTTCCTCAAGTTTTGTTTTAAAAGTTTGTAAAAATATGTTTTTAAACTTATTTATAAAAATTAGATAGCAAAAGTCATAGGCTTAAGAGTATGTGCTGGGGTGGTGATAAAGTTCCTTAAATCCAAATATTGAATATTAAACCTGCTTTCCTTTCCAGGTGGTGTTTGTTATTTTAGCATTTTTAACAGGTGTGATTTGTTCTTACCCTAATCCAAATGAGGACAAGTGCCCAGGAAACTACACCAACCCACTGAAAGTTCAGACTGTAATAATCCTTGGAAAAGTTATTTTGTGGATTCTTCATTTCCTTCTTGAACGCTACATTCAGTATCACCACAGCAAAGTAAGAAACCGAGGCTATAACATGATCTACCGATCAACAAGGCATCTTAAGAGACTTGCACTAATGATACACTCCACTGGTAAGCCCGTTTGTCTCTCTCAGCTTGTCTGTGGCTTCATTGAGTAGCAAAAATGACAGCAGAAAGAAAATGTGAAGATTGATTTTATAATCAAATACAGCAGGTCTTTGAGTAATGTCGTTTCATTCAACATCATTTTGTTAAAATGTTGATGGGATGCCATAGGAACTTAACTCTTGTTTATATCAACAGCCTATGGTCAGATTGGTTTCTTTATATGCTGTTTTGAAACCACTGGACAACAATGGGTTGGGGCTGCCTGTCACCACTTGAGCTAGTTAAGCAGAGACAGGGTATATGAGCATTCCTTCCAATTATGCCAGCAGTATGGGAAAGCAGCAGGATCCTTCCACATAAAATCTACTCTACTGCCCCCCATAAACCAGCTGCTTATATTCAGTAGAAGAACAAAGATTACATGGGAAAGTAGGAATTACAGGCATGGGGAAGTAAGCAAGGTATAATGGCCCAGGTTACAGGCAATGTGGGCTGGGGGTCGCAAAGGGGGGCCGCCTCAGGGACTCCACTGTTTTCGGCAACAAGGCTGTTAATCTTTCCATGATGATAGTTCTTGGAAAAGGAGAATGGACCACATTCCAAGGGTAATCCCCATGTCCCGGGGGTATACAACTCTCAGCCAGGTTAGAATGTGCTTTCTTTAATGAGAAGAGCGTGATTAATATTTCTTATAACTACAGCTAGACCCTGTTCTGTTTCTGCCCCTAACAGTTTCACTTAAAGTCGCAGAAACCTATTTATGACGCTAAATCAGGACTTACTGTAGATTCTCTCATTTTTGTGAGACTGATATGTGTTGGATCACCTAAATGTCTTTGTGGGTTTTTTTAAAATATATCTTTATTGATTTCAGAGAGAGGAAGGGAAAGGGAGAGAGATAGGAACATCAGTGATGAGAGAGTCATCATTGATCAGCCACCTCCTGCAGGCCCCCAACTGGGGATCGAGCCCGCAACCCGGGCATGTGCCCTGACCAGGAATCGAACCCTGATCACCTGGATCCTAGGTCAATGTTCAACCGCTGAGCCACGCCCGGCCGGGCTGGATCACCTAAATGTTTTGAAGCTTTTCTTACAATATACACAAGTTTAATTTTCCTTTGAAATTTGTATTCATTATTATAGGGGAGGAAATATAATTTCCCTCTACCCTTTCAGTTTCTTGGCTGAGACCCCAGTGTAATAAAAGACGGATTAACAGGAAAAAACAAATAAGTTTAATAACATATATTCCTCCTGTATACATAGGAGAGACTCGGGATAACTATGTAACACCCCAAAGTGTCCCAGGCCACCACCTTAAATACCATCTCCAGCTAAAGGCAAAAGAAGATGTTGGGGGTGGGGAAGCAGTTTTAGGAAGTTACCAGGAGAAGCACAGTAAACAAGGAAGGGTAAGGTTGTTAAGCAGAAATAAGTAGGTGCCTTCTCTATTGATAAGAGTTTCTTGAGATTTAGTCACCCTTCTCTTCCTGGTACAGGGAGGGAGACAACCTTACAAGTGGAGAATTCCTTTACAAATGTAAATGTTTACTTCTACGAGGTTTTCAGAGCTTTTCCTGGGTCTGCTGTCTTAAAAATAATCAGCTTAAAATAATCCTTATGCCAAAGAGTTATATTTTTGGGTGGGATTTTCTGCTCCCCTTCATTATGAACATGATGTCCATGTATTCCTGTGTGCAGTGTAGAAATTCCCCTCTATTCCTTATTCATCTCAAGGAGATAATAAATGCTGCTGTTCTTTGATACTTGCAAGGTAAGAAGAGGGACTTGTTTTACTTTAAATAAAACTCAGTACTTTTTTTGCAGTAAGAGAGATACTTTTATGTAATAAGATGCATTATCCAAAATGAAAAGAGAAAAACAAATTATGAAGGCAAGTTCAGAAAGCCCATCTAGGATTTAGAATGCATGAGTGCCTGCTTTTCTTTACCATTTTAGACATTTTAAAGGCTTAATGAAATCAAACTGAACTTTTTTTTTTTTTTAATGTATCTTTATTGATTTCAGAGAGAAAAAGGGAGAGGGAAAGAGAGAAACATCAATGATGAGTCATTGATCGGCTGCCTCCTGCACCCCCCCGACTGAGGATTGAGCCTGCAACCCAGGCATATGCCCTGACCGGGAATCGAACCCTGATCACCTGGATCCTAGGCCAATGCTCAGCCGCTGAGCCACGCCTGGCCAGGCTCAAACTGAACTTCTTTAAGTAGTATTGGCTTAGTGTTATTAAAATGTCTATCATCTTAAAAGACCCTCTTTGACTGTGAGTCCAGAATAAATCTTTAAACATTTTGAACCCAGATTAGAAATGAGTATTTTCGCCAAACAGCCCAACAGAATTTAAATCTTATTTTCTTCTGTGTTCTGTTAGTACACTGAAGGTTCATCCACTCTGTGACATTTTTAGTGGAAGATGGAGGACATGCTATAGAAGAGAAAAAAGCATTTTACAGAAGGGGGCAATGTTTACTGCTTGCTCCAGGCGGAAGAGCTTGGTTTTTATATGTTCAGCTTTTATGTGTAGTACTGTCTTTTGGCCAAAAGATGTCACTATCACCTTTCCCCAGAGTTGGGGAGTGAGGAGGGTCTGGGGCAGAAACCTATTTTTTTAATTACTGAAAGACCTTATATGCTGTGTGACCAAAATAATGTTCATTCATAAGTGACTTTTCTGTAAATAGTCATTTTGAGGACAACAAAAGAGTATCTGACTTTACCTTTCCTCTGACTTTCAAATTCTTATTAAACATGTGATCCTTAATCATAATCTGTTTCTAAACAATTGAACCCTTAGTGTAATGATACTAATGGCATCATTTGTATGTTGCTCATATAAAGAACCAGAAAATCAAAGAGATTGAAGCAGGTATTTACCTTGTTTCTGTTTTTCTTTAAGTATATTTTTTCTCATTTGAAGAACAAGAAGGTAAATCATAGAAGATATAGAAGGTCCAGCTAATCATTTTTTAATCATGTGATAGTATTGCTGGATATTGATTACTTTCATTTGATACTTTTTGTTATTCTCTAGAGAGAGGAAAATATATTTATTTTATGGAAATGGGAGTAGGGGCTTTGTTTTTCTTCCAAGTAAGTTGAAAATATTTATCTAATTTACATGTTCTCCTTCCTTAGATCCAAATACATTTTAAATTCAGGGTTTGTGTAACAAGTGTTATGTCCCCAAATTTAAATAGGAGGAGTCTGGGGTCAGAGTGAATTAGTGACTTTAGTTCATAAAAGTACCAAAAAGAAAACGAAAAACAACAGCACTGTGAGAAAGGTACTGTTATGCCCATTTTCAGATGAGAAAGTCAAGGAGGAGAGGTAGCCAGTCATTTGTCCAAGGTTAGCAGCATGTCCTGGATTTCCATCCAGGTGTCTGTAGCGTTGCAGCTCTCCTAACAGGCGGCACATGTCTTGACCAGAAAGGGTACTAGGGTCCTCAAGTGCCCATGAATCCAGAAACATTGGGATAATTCAGATTTCTAAAAAGTGTATCATTTTTTAAACACACAAACGCCCAAAGGAATGTCATTGTTAATAATTCTGTAAAGCAAAATATCATTCCATAGTATTAAGAAAGTCCAGATTCTTATATATTTGCATTATAAGACACCATTAACTTTTTGATGTGAGTTCCTACCCCACCTCCCCACCCCCACCCCCAGTCAAAAGATGAGCAGTTTCTTGGGTTTTATCCTTCAGCTTCCTTCGTGTGGGTGCGCGCGGCCTTGGCTGCCCCCTGGGCCCTGGCTGACAGCGTGGTCATGTTCCTCCGCAGGCAGCACGGCGCTTCTCCTCACTCTGTGCGTGCAGCACTCCTTCCCCGAGCCCGGCAGGCTGTATCTGGACCTCATCCTGGCCATCCTGGCCCTGGAGCTGATCTGCTCCCTGACGTGTCTACTCATCTACACAGGTGAGAAATACAACTAGGCTGTTCTTACTAAGACCTGCTTGAAGCCCAGCCCATTATCTTCGCAACAAGGAAATTGTTCTCAAAGATTTTTTGCGTAGCCGAGAGCCTCTTGAGCATCTATAGTTCTCACTGCTGACCACATCCAGACTTCTCTCATTTCAGACCAACGGGATGATACCAGTGAATCTCGTTTCTAAATGTGTGTCAATCCACAATTTTTTGTCAACTAAAGTGAAGTCTTTCCGTTATAAAACAAAAAAATCCCAAAGCCCACAAATGTTTGATTCCTCAAAGTCACCTTAAATATAAATCTGGCATTTGAAATGAAAAGTAACAAACTATAAAATAAGTAAATAAATAATGCATACAAAACAGCATTAAGCCCAAAATTGCTTTGGGATAAATCATTTAAGAACCTACTTCTTTTGAAATTTAGAGCTATCTGAGGGTTGGCCTGTCTGTCTGTCTCTTTTAAAACTCTCAGTGGTTAAAAAAAATGTATAAATAAAAATAAGACACTCAGTGGGAAAATTAAAGTAAGCTTCAGGTATGTTAACATGAAAAATAGATGAAAGGATACTTAAACAGAAAAAAATTAAAGCCCCAGAGAAATCTAGATTCCAGTCCTGCTGCAGTGTTGACTTGTGGTAAAATCTGTCCACAATAGTAGCTCACTTTGTGGCATTGAGCAACATGTTTTGTAACAATAAAATACCTTATCTGTCCATTTTGAAAGAGATCATTTCTCTAGTTATGAAGAAATAAGTCACATGGATCTTAGCTTGTGTTTCATTTTACTGAATTTTTTCTGTTCATCTTCTTGAGGCCCAGTGAAAAGTATTTAGAATATGAATTGAGTTTACAGATGTGAATGGTGTCACATCTGAATTGACTTTTATAAATTTTTCTGCAGTTATCAGCGTATAATTAGCCAAAGTAGGTAAAAGATTACATTTGACCCTCACTAAAAAAAATGTATACCACCCACTTAATTTAATAGCAAAGCATGAGACGAGTTTTCAAATAAGGTTAATTTTTCAGTACATAGGAAACAGCTCAATACTTCAGCAAAGTGATCTAGGTGAAAGAAATGAACATTGAATTATCTTGATTGATCAGTTTCATTCTTTGACATATCATGTCTGTGAAGTGCACTAAATGGGGTTCTAATTTAGATCTAAGCACAGAATTCAATTAGCATGTGATTTTATAGTATCTCTACAACTGTTATGTACTACAAGGTGTACAAGCCCTCAGTCAAGAATTTTCTGTAATACTGATAGAGAATGCTCTACAGCATAGAAGGTGACAATATTCCGAAGATCATGTGAATGTCATCATGTAAAAAGGGGAAATTAAGTGTTAAAATGTAGTTCAAGATCTATTTCTCTAGGGTTTACAAATCCATTTTTAAAGGATTTGCTGTAGCATTTAAAATTAATTATGCTATAAATAAGACAGGTAATGTTAAAAAGAAAAAGACTAAAACCAAGACCATTTAAAAGGAGGTGGAAGAAGCAGATGTTCCAAGAATTCTGAGAAGAACTAATTTTGTGGCACAATTATATTAGTTACATGACACCTAAACTTGAACAAAAAGAGAATTTTCCTTTATCATGTACCATTGTCTTCCTAATTGGAAAGAATTGCTTTGGTCTGTAGTCAAAGACTTAGAAGCATATTTCATTTTTATTTACATTAATTTTTTACTTTTATGCAAATACACCATTAAAAATTGTCCTTTTAAATTTCAAATTAACATGATTCCTATTTTAAGAAAACCTGATAATTGGTAATTCAGGCTTGCAAAATAAATAGATGATTTACATAGGGAAGGTTTATAATTATTATATTCCCTCCACGTCTTCAATAATGGGACTACTTTTTATTTTTTTAAATATGTTTTTATTGATTTCAGAGAGGGAGAGGAAGAGATAGAAGCATCAATGAGAGAGTCATTGATGGGCTGCCCCCTACTGGGGATCAAGCCTGCAACCGGGGCATGTGCCCTGTCGGGGAATCAAACCACTGAGCCATGCTGGCTGGGCAATAACAGGACTACGTTTTAAATTATAATGTTCCTTTCAATATACCTTAGGGTCTGACAAGAGAGATTTAGGGAGTCACTTCTAGGGTCAAATGTTGCTTTTATTCAGTGTCACAGAAACTTTAAGGTTGGTTCCCTGATAATGTATTTTTCTTGCTTCTCTATACTTTAAAAGATAGCCAGTGTTGATCAATGTTGATGGTAACTATTTAGGACATGATTCTTTGATACACTAATTCTAACCTAACTTGACTAATATATTTGCATTGCAAGTATTTAATCCCTAGAAACCAAGATGGACTCTTCTTATTGAGCACTAATTTGCTTGACTGCCTATATAAAGAAAACTAGGAGCCCGGCCAGGCGTGGCTCAGCGGTTGAGCATTGACTTAGGATCCAGGTGATCAGGGTTCGATTCTCGGTTAGGGCACATGCCCGGGTTGCGGGCTGCAGCCGATCAGTGACTCTCTCATCATTGGTATTTCTGTCTCTCTCTCTCCCTTCCTTTCTCTGGAATCAGTGAAGATATATTAAAAAAGAAAAAGAAAACTAGGAAAGTAAAACTTGAAACAGTTCCAAGATATTAAATTTGATGAGCTCTCTGTTCATTTAAAAATAAGCAAAAGATTCAATAAAGGCCACTCAGTTGTCAGCCTTCCAGCAGCTGATAAAATTGTCATCTAGTTCATATTCTTTACTCTTGCCAGTGTGATTGTTTATAGGTAACTCATCACTAACAACTTCCCTGTTCAGAGTTTTCTAAGGGCCTAAGGAAGAAAATATGAAATCTTAGTGTGGCATAAAAGGCTTTCTATGAACTGGCTCCTACCCATCCCTGTTCCTCAGGGGAGATGATGAGATCCTTTCAATGACTGCCATTTGCTCTCGGGGTAAAATCCAAATGCCTTAGCATGGCACACCAGCCACTCGCATCTTCCCTGCCCACCTTTCCAGCCCTACCCCTTGTCTGTGCCCACCCCTACTCATTGGAAACAAGAGGTCACAGTTGAATGATATACAATTACATAAGTAATTTTGCTTCAAGGAATTTAGATGGCCAAATCACTGCTGTTTGTTGATTGACTGATTTATAGGGCTTTTGTCTCACTCTATCTGACCATTACTTTGAACGTCTGACGATGAAACAGGCACAACAGAGCACTTGTTAACTGTCTCCTGCATAATACTCCTGAAAGTGGTACTTACCAGATTTGAACCTTGTGCTAGTGCTCACTGAGTTATTTGTAAAGTAAATGTTTTTAGTTCAAGCTGCTATACAGGGGCTAGCAGTATCCAAGCCCCTACTCTACTGAAAGTATAATCTTGACTACCTTTTTAAAGTCAGAGATAGGAAATTTAGGACACTGGGACATTACATTGTAAAATAGCTTGTTTTATGTTTCTAAAGCTATCTTATTCTGTGTTAAAGCTAACTGTCTCAATGTAAGTTTTAAATAAATGTATTTCATTAGAAAACACACATACCCTCACTCACTCTCAGGATCCTAACTATGTGTTCTGTCTCTTCCCTCGCCTAAAACACCTTCTCCACTCCAATAGTCTGTGATTAATTTGGGGTTTTGTTAAGACTGGACGAAAGCCCCTCCCTTTTCCTCCTCTCTGAACCTCCCCCCACCGCATCCCACTCCTGCTGAGTAAGGGGCTGCTTTCCAGGGCTGTGCTAGCCCCTGTGCAAGTTCCAGTTTATGGTCCTTTTCATACTGTCTTGGAATGCAGGCTTATTTGCATTTTCCCCTGAACTAGTAGCTCTTTTTACAGGGTAGTGTCCACAGCAGAGGCTTTGGAGTCTTGCTTCCTGGATTAGCTTCCTTGCGCTGCACTTTATTCAACTGTAGAAAATAGGAGTAATAATAAAAGCACCCTTCTCAGGGGCTGGTTCTGAGCAGAATGAGTTCCACGTAAAACAGTTCACTTGTGCCTCCTGTGTTTTTAGTCCACACAAAAATGATACCTGTTATCAGTAATAAGGGTGATCACTGTGTTCCCGGTGCTTAGTACAGGCTTGGTACATGGTAGATTTCAAATGTTTAAGTACATCAATAAACAAACCTGTTTATTCTCTTTATGAAGTATTTGTATGCATATTACCTTTTTTGAAGTAGCCAATTAATGTAATTTGAATGAATAGAAATAGAAATATCTTTATAATTAAATAACCTGACAATAATGACTTTATTATTTTAGTGAAGATTCGAAAGTTTAATAAAGCCAAACCACAGCCTGATATACTTGAAGAAGAAAAAGTCCACGCTTACCCCAGCAATATTACTTCAGAGACTGGATTCAGGTAAGCTTTGGGTGGGGAGTAGAAGTTGAGAGAAAGAGAATTGAGTCCCCCCCACCCCTCCGGAACCTTAGAAACCATTCTGCTTGGAGATTTTGACAGTGCATCTATGCCTTTAGAAGTAAGTTTGATGCTACTTCCTTCTGGCTGTAGTGAAACCCAGTCGAATGAAAGAATCTCATTTTGGAATATTGCACTGGCTTATAACATCTAAGAAAAAGTAACATGCAATATGTTGCACTTTCACTAATTTTCAACTGGTATGGAGCCATTTGCAAAGAGACTAACAAGTGTTGGTATGTGTGACCCATTAATATCTTGATTCTTTGCAGGACTGTTTCAAGCCTAGAAGAAATCGTCGAAAAGCAAGGAGACATAATAGTTTACCTGAAGCGACACAATGCACTGTTGAGTAAGCGGTTGTTGGCTTTCACTTCCTCGGACCTAGGCTCTCATCCAAGTAAAATGTGAGAGTTCAAGGTAAAGACAGCAATTGCGAAGGATCCAGACTAATTTAAGACTGACTACCTGACAAGCCGTCATAGAAAATTGCAGTTTTGCCAAGTGACATTTTACAGTTTTTTTGGAAACCTGAATTTGGTTCTCACCTGTGGGGCTGTTTAATATTATATATAGGTCTTGTGGATTATGTGAAGGTGATATGTGGAGCCTTGATAACTCAAGGAGAATGCCTGTTTTGCACATTTTAAAGTTATTTAACTGCCTGATTATCCTAGGACCAAAGGTAGAGTTTAAACATCTCCCGGGCCAACACTTCTTCCACATGACATAAAAACCCTGTGATAATTTGGCTATTTATAGAGGGAGGCTGACATGCCAATGTATTTAAAACAGGGATTTGTTCAAATATGTCCTTTCCACTTTTAAACTGATGAGGGAAGTCATTTCTTGTGTTGTTTCTTCCTATGGAGCCTAATCATATATTTTATATGCCTGTGTGGTTTTGGATGGCAGCTTGCCCCTTGTAGCTTTTATAATTTTCTCACTGAGTTCTCACTAGGTGATTTACTATGCAAACTCCTAGTTTTTCATTCTCCAGAAATAAGATATGAAGGTTACTTGGATCAGTGTTAGACTGACCATGGCTGTCTGTTCCCTCAATAGCACCTTCCACTGGCAACACCTTTAACTTTATTTTTACCCTTCTTCAAGTAGTTGCCATGCATTTCAGTACTGACTGTATATCTTCACTGGATTAATAAGTTCAGTGATAGGAAAGGGATCTTCTCTGCCTTTAAGTTTGACTAAAAGAAAAAAAAGGCACCTTTTAGTTTTGGATTATATTTAAAAATTATGATGGGTATAAAATGTCCTATCCACTTCTGTACTGATATTAAACAAGTCTAATTCTCCAGATAAAGTGAAGCATCTTTATGAGTAAATGGCATTACTTCCGCAGTTTTCCAAATGTGTGCTCCTGTATCAGTTTGCTCTTTGGCACCTTAACATGCTGCCTTAGAGACCTTTGGTTGAAAGCTTAACATGAGGAGGAGGGAATATCTGTGATAATGTATGCTGCTAATTTATTTTATTTATTCTTTTTTTTTTTTTTTTTTTTTTT